GTAGTGTCCCAGATAATCCTACACACCCTGCTCAAGCAGCGCTTCTGTGCTATGTCCTGGATGGGAGGGAGGGAACTGCCAATGATCTTTTTGGCCATCCTCACCACTCTCTGCACCGCCTTCCTGTCTGAAGCAGGGTTGCTTCCAAACCAGACTGTGATGCTGTATGACAGGATGCTCTCGATCGTCCCCCTGTAGAAAGTGGTCAGGACAGGGGAAGGAAGATGTGCTTTTCTCATGCGGCGCAGAAAATGCAGGCGCTGCTGTGCCCGCTTCACCAGTGTCTCACTATTGAGCGACCAAGCCAGCCTGCTCGTTAGCTGCACACCCAGGAATTTGATGCTGGTAACCATCTCCACCGGTGAATCATTGATGCACAGAGATGTGTGGCTGTGCCTGCCTTTTCTGAAATCGACAATGATCTCTTTGGTTTTTCCGGTATTTAAAACTAGGATTGTTATAATTAAACATTACTACCTTTAATCTGGCCCTGTGTCAAAGCCTCTTTGGTTTGAGTGCACAGTGTTGGGATAGCGTCATTTTGTTTACATTTTGGGATTTTTTTGTCTACTGTATAGGTCAGAAGACATCCCTCACGCAAGAAACGGAACTTCTAGAGTCTTTGCTACAAGAAGTAGAACATCAGGTAATAGAAGCTAGTTTTGCAGACACTCAATCTTTGGGAAATGATTTTAAGATCCGATAAACAGACACGACTTATAGGTTTAAAATAACAAACTGTGCCTCTTTGATTTCACGGCAGTACAGATAGTCCTCAGCTTACAACCCCAGCGGATCCTGACATTTCCGTTGCTAAGCAAGACGGTTGTGAAGTGAGTTTTGTCCCACTTTACGACCTGTTTTGCCCCAGTTGTGAAGCAAACCGTTGCAGTTAAGTGAATCATGCAATTGTTAAGTGAACCTGTCCTCCCCCATCGGCTTTGCTTGTCAGATGCCTGGTGGGAAGCTTACGTGTGGTGATCACATGACACTGGGACTGTGCAGCTGTCATACATACATACCAGTTTGTCAAGTGCCCAAATTTTGATCACGTGACCATGGGGAAGTTAAAACAATTGTAAGTGTAAAAACCAGTCACAAGTTGCTTTTTCGGTGCCGTTGTAACGGTCCCTAAGCAAACGGTTGCCAATAAAGGAGAATATTTGTAGCTCAAGTGTTGAAGTGAGGGGTCCTTGATGCTCTCTGAGCTTGGTGGTTTTCTTGCAGACATTTCATTACCCAAACTAGGTAACATCATCAGTGCTAAGTTACCTAGCTTGGGTAATGAAATGTCTGCAAGAAAACCACCAAGCTCAGAGAGCACCGAAGACTCCTCAGACAAATGGTTGTAAGTCGAGGACTACCGTATAAAGTAAAGAGAGTTGGTCTGGGTCAGAGTAAAGTCCCCTCTAGTCTAGCATTGAATTCATTGTGATTTTTATGTGCTTTGTATTTTAACACGAATGAAGGCAAGTATATATATGTCGCCACATTACAAAAAAGAGGTGGAGACTTTGGAAAAAGTGCAGAGAAGAGCAACTAAGATAATCAAAGGCCTGGAGACTAAAACGTACGTAGAACGGCTGCAGGAATTCGGTATGGCCAGTCTAGAGAAAAGAAGGAACTAGGGGGGACACGATAGCAGCATTCCAGCATTTGAGGGGATGACACAAAGAAGAGGAGGGGGGTCAAATTATTTTCCAAAGCACCAGAGGGTAGGACGAGAAGCAATGGATGGAAACTAATCAAGGAGAGAAGCAACCTGGAATTAAGGAGAAGCTTTCTAAAAGGACAATTAACCAGTGGAATAGCTTGCCACCAGAAGTTGTAGGTGCTTCATCACTGAAGGTTTTTAAGAAGAGACTGGACAACCATTTGTCTGAAATGGTATAGGACAGGGGTAGGCAACCTTGGCTCTTTTATGACTGGTGGACTTCAACTCCCAGAATTCCTCAGCCAGCATGGCTCAGCATGGAAACCTCTCCCTTTCCCCTCAGCATGGCTGGCTCAGGAATTCTGGGAGTTGAAGTCCACGAGTCATAAAAGAGCCAAAGTGGCCTACCCCTGGTACAGGATCTCCTGCTTGAGCAGGGGGTTGGACTAGAACACCTCCAAGGTGCCTTCCAGCTCTATTCTGATTGATTGAAAATAATGTTGCAGGATCCAATCTGGGCCGGTTTGTATTTTAAGGCGGGTGTTTAACTAAGGCCTATTTCATGCTCCATTTCTTTCTTTCTTTACAGCTCCGGTCGTGCAGTAAAAGTGAACTAATCTCGAAAAGCTCCGAGATTTTAATGATGTTCCAGCAAGTGCACCGGAAACCCATGGCGTCTTTTGTCACCACTCCTGTCCCTCCAGACTTCACGAGGTACGGCTGCATTCAGCTATTTATGATGGGTCAAATTGGTTGTTTAAACCTAGATCGCTTGTTTCTCAACCTAGGCGCGTTTAAGATGTGCGGACTTCAAGCCCCAGAATTCCCCAGCCAGCCATAGTAAATAAAAGACATTTGAGCTCAAAACATGTAACCTTCTCAACTTGCCTAAGGCCTGGCATTTACGCAAAAGATGTGAGAAACACATCTTTTTCTTTTTATGGACGCACCTCTGTGATAATTAGTCACCGGAGTGAGTTTTGGAAGAGATTTGCATAGTTAGCAGTCAAGAAGAATTTACATGATTCTCTGAGGGAGATGTGCAGTTAAAAAATAGAAAATATAAACAAGTTTGTTTTTTCTTTACACTGTAAATTAATTGCATCTTCGAGTTAGAGTTGAAAATCCTTTTTAAATTAGCCATCATAAGCTTGTGTGAATGAGGCAGAGGGGGAGATACACGATATTACCTATCTCCTGTTTACAACACAGTCCTTTCAGCAGTTCCAAGAAGTTTCCACACCCATAGTACTTAAGGTAGATACTATGATAACAGAATAAAAGAGTTGGAAATGATCTTGGGGGTCTTCTAGTCCAACCTCCTGCTCAGACAGGAAACCCTATAACATTTCAGACAAATGGCTGTTCAATCTCTTCTTGAAAACCTCCAGTGATGGAGCACCCACAACTTCTGGAGGCAGGTTGTTCCACTGGTTAATTGTTCTCACTGTCAGGAAATTTCTCCTTAGTTCTAGGTTGGTTGTCTCCCTGATTAGTTTACGTCCGTTGCTTCTTCTCCTGGTTTCAGGTGCTTTGGAGAATAGGTGGAGCCCCTCTTTGTGGCATCCCCTCAAATATTGGAATACTGCTATCATGTCATCCCTAGGTATTCCTTATCAAGAAGATTCATATATTGTGAAATTAAGGCAGACTTTGAGAGTTTAGAGGGCAGAATTTAAATCCTTTTTGATTACAAACTATCGGGATCACTCTAATACAGCAGTTTTGCACTGCCTACTGAACAATCCAGTTGGTCTAGTGCAGGGGTGTCAAAATGCTGCCCCGTGGATTGGATGCGTCATGGCGAAACCGCGCCCACCCCATTGCCGGCAATGGAAAAAAAGTCAACGATATGTTGCGACAAGTCATGTGACGTTACGAGTTTGACACCCTTGCTCTAGTGGTTGAGGCACCAGGCTAGAAAACGGGATTTATGAGCTCTAGTTCCACCTTAGCCATGAAAGCTAACTGGGTGGCCTTGGGCCAGTCATTGTCTCTCAGCCCAATTCACTTCACAGGGTTTTTGTGGGAAAAATAAGAGGAGGAAAGTGTTGGATGCGTTTGCTGCTTTGTGTGATTTATAAAAATAATCTGGTAGGTACAAATAAATAAATAAGGTCTCCAGATTTTTGTATCACTGCTATGACAGTTAGAAGCTTTTAGATTTGATTGTTACCCAGGTGTATGTGATATGTATTGCATGAATACCATAGGTGTGTATTGGAGGTTGTATAATGGATTTTTTAAAAACATGTTTTGTTTATGACCATATATTTTAATAAACTATCTATTACCATCCCTTTTTAAAATCCCGTGAAGGAACTTTGAAACTTCCTGCAGTTTAATAAAGAAATGTGAAGAGGTTTTGTTTTTGTTTTTTTAAAAAAAAAACATGTTAGAAGGGTCTAATGCTTTTTCTTTTTCTCTGCAGTGAGTTAGTACCTGCTTATGATTCAACTACCTTTGTCCTGGAGAATTTTAGGTAAGAACATGACCTAATTCTGTTTAATTGTTTAGAGGAGGGTCTGCGATGACTGCCCCAGGGGTTCCAGGAAAAGAGACAACTGCTGAAAAGAGTGACACCCATATACCCTGGGAAGCCCCTGTTTGAAGTAAAATCCAAAGCATAACATGTTAAGAGCCGTGGTGGTGCAGTGTTTAGAATGCAGTATTACAGTCTAATTCTGCTGGTTGCCAGCAGTTTGATTTTGACCAGCTCAAGGTTGACTTAGCCTTCCATCATTTCGAAGTCGGTAAAATGAGGACCCAGATTGTTTGGGGCCATAGGCTGACTGCTTAGAAAGGGCTGTAAAGCACTACGAAGTAGTATATACGTCTTATTGCTATTAAGGAATGGCTTAGTCTTTATTCAAAGGCTGCTATTCTGTGTGCTAAATTCTTCTTCTTTCAACTTTCTTAATAGCACTTTACGTCAGCGAGCAGATCCAGTTTACAGCCCACCACTTCAAATTTCTGGGCTTTGCTGGAGGCTAAAAGTGTACCCAGTAAGTTTTAACTGATGTTTATTTATTTAATTGTATTTTCTTCATCATATTTAGGAACCAGCTGTCTCCTTCGCAGAGGGATTCTGGACAGTGTACAGATAAATTAAAAGTATTAAAACAGCATATAAAATTTAAATTTAAAACGAGACAAGCAATGATAAAAATTAATTAAGTAGTATTAAGAGATACATGAATAGATGTTTGTTACAATTTCTGATACATTTCAGTGCGCAAGTCCTATGACAAATGCTGATATATTGTTCAGCTTGCTGAAATTCAGGACTTCAGAATGCAGATATTTGAGTCTAATATTTTGATGAATGCAGACCAAATATGGAGCCCCAACATAAATATTAACAAACATATTGTTCCTAAAACATATAACGAACGGTTGCTGGAATTGGGTATGTCTAGTTTAACGAAGAGAAGGACGAGGGGGGACATGATAGCAGTGTTCCAGTATCTCAGGGGCTGCCCCAAAGAAGAGGGAGTCAAGCTATTCTCCAAAGCGCCTGAAGGCAGGACAAGAAGCAACGGATGGAAACTAACTAAAGAGAGAAGCAACCTAGAACTAAGGAGAAACTTCCTGACAGTTAAAACAATTAACCAGTGGAACTCCTTGCCTCCAGAAGCTGTGAATGCTGGATTTTTTTAAAGAAGAGACTGGACAGCCATTTGTCTGAAATGGTATAGGGTTTCCTGCCTGAGCAGGGGGTTGGACTAGATGACCTCCAAGGTCCCTTCCAACTTTTATTATTATTATTATTATTATTATTATTATTATTATTATTATTATTATTATATTTTAGTTTGAAACAGATGAGCACCGCGCACTATAATCAGCAACTAGCGGAGTAAAATCCGCAGGGACTCCTCATTTTACTATAGATAGGCCAAAACCCCCATTTATAATGTGCTATGTAGTATGATTTGTTCCCCTAAAAAAGCTGATTAACCTAAGTAATGTTCATTGACTATTAAAAATCAAGCCTATTATTTTTTAAATGAGTCATGTCAAGGTTGCTACTTAATATGCTTTATCACAATTCCTTCTTTTGGGGAAGCCTGCACATATTTTATGCTTGAGCCCTTTCCTATTTGGACAAATTGTTTGAAAATATAGCAAAACTAGATACAAAATAAAACAATCACTTGCATTGACAGGTTGTTTAACTTTTGTACAAGACGTCCTATTCATTGTTTTATCATATTTGAACCTTTGAGATCAGAACGTCTGTAGCTTTCTGTCGCATTCTGCTTACTAAGTGAATATCAAGCTTATTCTGCTGACTGAGAAACAGTGAACTTTGATTCATTATGGGGGGACTTTTTGTTAGATGTTCAAGCCGTCAGCACATGGTATAACAGAATAATAAAATAGCAGAATAACAGAGTTGGAAGGGACCTTGGAGGTCATCTAGTCCAACCCCCTGCTCAAGCAGGAGACCCTATACCATTTCAGATAAATGGCTGTCCAGTCTCTTCTTGAAAACCTCCAGTGATGAAGCACCCATGATTTCTGGTGGCAAGCTGTTCCACTTGTTAATTATTCTGTTAGGAAGTTTCTCCTTAATTCCAGGTTGCTTCCCTTCTTGATTAGTTTCCATCCATTGCTTCTTGTCCTGCCTTCAGGTGCTTTGTATCAGGCGACACAAGGGATATGAGTTTCAGTGAACAAGCCATTACTTTGAGTAAAAGAAAAAAGAAAAAAAAGAAAGAAAGATGCAAGGCAGTATTCAAGAGTTTACCCTTCTTAACGTTAGATCTGGTGAGCTCTGCATCTAATAAAAAATTGACTTCTGTCACCGTAGGGAGCTATAAATTGGAACTTCAAAAGCTTTTTGGATTGCTCCGGATTCATTCCTAACTTCTATTTTTTTATTTTATTTTATGAAGGATGGAAATGGAGTGGTACGTGGCTACTATTTATCAGTATTTCTTGAGCTCTCAGCTGGATTGCCAGAAACTTCCAAGTAAGAACTAATGCAAGCATCTGATATTATCTATGGCATCCATTACATGAAATGAACATTGTTCTGTGTTTATTATTTATTAAACAAATGTATATAGCCAATTCTCACATACGTTGCTCTGAGCAGCTTACAAAAATTAAAAAAATCCACCATAAAAACCATTAAAAAACAACCTTTATCTACCCTCCATTGCAGCAACAACACAATCAAATCAGTCATTTAATCAGCTCCGTCTCCATTCGTGCTCCCTGGGCCCACTGACAAAACTAAGTTTTTAGGGCCTTTCAGAAAAGCAACAAGGGTGGGGGGCCAACCGTACCTGGGGGGGGGATGATTTTCCATAAAGAAGGGACCATCAACAAAAGGCCCTTTTTTGAGGTCCTACCAGATGACAATCCCTAATTAATGTTGTGTTGGAGATACAGTTATGTTACTTTACTCTCTGAGTTTGCCTTTTATAAATCTAACTTGCTAAACTCCAGCATCTGGCTAGGAATTGTAAGAGAAAATGGAAGGATGGTGGTCATATTTCAACTGCCTGCAATGGGGAAAAAGTTCCGATACATCATGTGATGTCACAAGTTTGACATGTCTGTCCTAGAGAGTGAAAAACTTGATCTTTCCATGCTGCACTTTCACAACACAACATTTGCAGGACCACAGATTCTATCCATTATCAGCCCAGCCAATTCAATTGAACAAGGAGAATCCATTTTGGAGAGTTCTGGAAGCTAAAGTGAAGAGATACTGTTTTTCTGCTATTGCCATAGATCAGCGTTCCACTTGAGATCAGGCTAACCACCTCCTGGTTGGCCTTTCTTCCTGAGAGACTTCAAATTTTATCAAGCCATCTTTCTGTTCCCTTTTTATTGCTTACAGCTTTCTTGCTGGCACAATATTTATTTTACTATTTTATTATTACGATTGGTGTTTGTTTGTTTTCTACTATACGTAAGCCACAAGAATCTCTGGATTGCAGCGGGGTAGAAAGGCGAACAATAAATAAACACTGAAGAACGGATTTTTAGTTACATGAAAATATGGAAAGTGGCAAAAAAAAATTTCCCCTTTGAAATCATCTTCCAGATTAGAAAGGGTTCTAGTGAAACGTGAAATTGTTATTAAATTTCATGATAAATAAATAAAACTGTTACTAGAAGTTTTGAAACTTCTGGCTTTATCCTTTAGCTCTGCCTATTGTGTATTGCACAAAGATATCCTGAAACTGTGTGACTGTTAATTGCTGTCAGTTTAAAGGGAAAGTGGTGTGTGTTGTGTAAATAGTGTAGTTTGCTTTTACCAAGCAGGATATTGTGCTGAACTTGAGGTAGAGAGATATCTTAACTTTGGCAGGGAACAGAAGTCCAGCTGAGAAATTTGCCTGGCTTCCATGCATAAAAGAGGATTTTTTTTCTCCTAAAATGGTCATAAGGTCTAAAATAAAACCATGTATTGGACCTGAATGCATCTTTCCATAAGTGTAAACCAAAATCCTGGTCCTCAGCTTTATTTTTGTGAAATTTGGTTTTTATCCTGATTGCTTCAATTTTTTCAGGATAGGGTACAACTGTCAGTGAATACTTTTAAGTCTTCCAAATAATTTTCTAAGGTTGGTTATGTACTTATTTGTCTCTTCTCATTTTAAACCATTTGGTGGCATTTTAATGCCAAGGCACCACGCCATCTGCAGTGCCCTTGGCATTTCATGCACAGTCTTGCGTGGGATGGCCATGTTTCATTTTTCACTCGTTTTCTTTTTTTTGCTCTGCTTTGCTCCACAGTAGTAGTGCCTTTAATGTATTTTTCTAATCAGAGGTTTTGTATATCTTTTAAATGGTCAATAAAAATATAAATTTGGAATATGCATCCTTGAAAACACATTGTATACCAATATCTTGTAAATTTTCTAGATGAAGTGGGACGTTGGGTTGTTTTGCATGAGTCCAGTGAAAACAAATCCATTGATTTTTATTCACTGCATTCTTTTGATCAAGAGGGCCTCCATCAATTGTTAATGTGTACCTAAAATTTTGGAAAATAATGTGTTTTGCAGCCTTTAACTTTCTCATATCCTTGACTTTTGACTCATCTTTTTTTCTCAGTATTTTATACAAACTACTGCATGTAAGACAAGCTCTCCTGTCTCTTAAAGTGGAAACATATGGCTTCTGATATCTTTTTAAAATATTTGAGGTTACATTTAACTAACTTTATTAACCAGATAGTTTCTGCTTACTATAGGGTCCTTGATGTTCTCTGAGTTTGAAACCCCTCAGTTCAACCCTGACCTACAAATATTCTTTTCTGTATTTGTATCCCACTATGAACTTGCCACTCTTGTACAAAATGTGGAAAAATTTAAAACATTTGCAGTTTAATTGAAATAAAAAAAATATAAGCCAAGTCATAAAACTAGCAATATCTAGCATAATGGCAAAAATAACATAAATAGGAAACAAAAAAAAAAGTTGGACTGCTAGGTAAATATCTCTGGAATGCTCTTTTGCAAAGTTCAATTTTTAATAACCTTCTGACAGCCATCAAGACGAGGTACTAGTTTGATCTACGTAGACAGAATGTTTTGTAGCACCAGCATGTCCACGTACTACCTCTGGATTAAATTTCCACCTGTGTAATTCAGTTCTTTGGCACCATTCAGTATTATTTTCTTCTTATTTTCCTTACTAAATCTTGTTATATATACCTAAATTGATTCAAAAATTCCCTGGAGACGATATGGGAATGTAGAGGTATAATGTGTGAAGATCAAAATACTTACTGTGCCTTCCTTCCTTCCTTCCTTCCTTCCTTCCTTCCTTCCTTCCTTCCTTCCTTCCTTCCTTCCTTCCTTCCTTCCTTCCTTCCTTCCTTCCCTCCCTCCCTCCCTCCCTCCCTCCCCCTTCCCCTTCCCCTTCCCCTTCCCCTTCCAGATATGAATACCGTGTTGAGATGGTCCACCAATCCACCAATGATCCTGCAAAAAACATCATCAGAGAATTTGCATCTGATTTTGAAGTCGGGGAATGCTGGGGTTACAACAGGTTTTTCCGACTGGATCTGCTTGCCAACGAAGGCTATTTGAACAGGCAGAATGACACCGTCATATTACGGTAAGAAAGATGAAAGGGCATCGTAGTTGGGCTTCATGGCAATAGGATAGGAAACTTCTTTATGCTACATTAGGGGCTGTTGGTCTTAAATGTCTTTCTTGTGAAAATACATTGTATAGGGTTCAAACATAAGAGGGGATCTTTTCACTGGTAGCCCTTCTCTGGAATATTGTCTATAGCAGGGGTAGGCAACCTTGGCTCTTTTATGACTCATGGACTTCAACTCCCAGAATTCCTGAGCCAGCTGTGCTGAGGGGAAAGGGAGAGGTTTCCATGCTGGCTCAGGAATTCTGGGAGTTGAAGTCCACGATGTCAAAGCAAGAACATCCAATGTTACCAGATGTCAAGTCTTTACTATCTTTTCTGTGCCAGATATATATTTTTTTCTCTGGGGCATTTTAATCTTTTATTGCTCCTTTTTATTGTTTCCCTGTTACATATTTTAATTATAGTGTTTCAAGGTATACTTTTGATTGTTTTAGAACTTTGGGTGTTTTTAATTTGTTATAAGCCATCCTGGGAAAATCTGGTTTTTAAGAGTGACATATAAATGCTAAAATAAATGCCAATAAATAATTGTGTCTTGAAGTTGGTGGATCCTAAGCAAAATTAGATAATTGCTTAAATCTCTTAACAGATTTCTTACTGGGATTATTGCAGTTTAACGAATAACAGCTAGCATTTATTGTTAAAAGGAAATACAATTTTCCCAGTCGAGAAGCCAAATAAACAGGCATCAAACAAAGGGTGACATTTTAGCGTTAGCCAGTTTAATTAGCTGAATGTAGTTTAAAGCCTTAATCCCTTGGAGTAAATGAGATAGTGTAGGACAGTGATGACGAACCTTTTAGAGACCAAGTGCCCAAAACCTGGGCCCGCTTCCACCCCCTGCCCTGCCCCTGCTCCACCCCCACATCATCCCCCGCCCCGCCTACCTGTAGGGCCACTCACTGCCTCCAGGGCCTGCCACAGATTGCCCAGGTAGCCCAGCAGCACCATGGCAGCCACACCCTCTGCCCGTGCACCGCAGCATCAACTGCACGATGGGGCGTGAGGGCAGAGTCTTGTCTACACTGCCTGGCTGCCATGTCCTTGACTGCGCTGCTCCGCATGGGCCATGCTCAGGGGTGACTCCTCCAGGGGGGCTGCTGGTGAGGGGGTCGTGGGGGGAGGCGAGGCTGGGGCAGTGGCACATGTGCCCACAGAGAGGACTCCAAGTGCCGCCTCTGGCACTTGTGCCATAGGTTCGCCACCACTGGTGTAGGATAACACAACCCTTCTCTCCTAATAATGCCATCCTCTTTGGACTGGGGTAACATATACACCCTGGAGGAGCTTGGAGAGAATCCAGCTGCTGAAATGACTTGCATTTTCTTGAGGGAGCTTAGAGAAACTTTTGACATGCTTCTTCTAAAGCTTCCAGGTGCGTTCACCTACGTTCTTCCAAAAATGTCGGGATCAGTATTGGTACATTTCTCAGCTGGAAGCGGCTCAAACAAGCTATGTCCAGCAAATAAATAATCTGAAAGAGGTAAGCGGTGCTACTGCACATAGAATGTATGTGTTTATTTATTTAGCATTCTTTTTTCTTTTTTTAAAAACATTTATATAACCATTCATATATTTTATACATTTTATATAAATTGTGTGTGTCAGCCCAATCTTCTTCCCATATTTGGGCCGACAGGGTGCATAAAAAACAACACTCAAGACATTGTGTGTGTCTATATACATTTTATATATTATATTATTATATTATATTATATTATATAAATATTATTTATTATATTTAATATAAAATGGTATAATATTAATATATAATTTTATAATTATTTTTATATTTGTATTTTATATGTATTTGATAAACAGTTATACCTATTTATACTGTATATTTATAAATATGTAAAATATTTATATATTTAAAACATTTACATAGCGGCCCATCTTCTAACCAACTCTGGATGGCTCCCAATCCAAAGTTAAAGCAACATGTAAATCGTATTAAAACCCTAAAACATAAAAACGTTTAATGTTTAAAACATTAAAATACTAATCCTGCCTTTGGCCGCAGGGAGAATTAAAGCCATGCTTATTTTCCTTCTCTATGTTTTGTTGGCTTCCCAAGAACTTAATAACGGACGTCTTCCTTTTTTCTAATTTATTATGTGAAAAGGTTTAAGTTAAGATATATAGGTAGTCCTCGACTTACAACCATTTGTTTAGTGACCTCTTGAAATTACAAACTGACTGACTTACAGCCAGTCTTCGCATGTACGACCGTGGCAGCATCCCCACGGTCACAGGATCAAAATTCAAGTGCTTGGCGACCTGCAATTGACAGTTGCAGCATTCTGGGGTCACGTGATCACAATTTGCGACCTTCCCGGGGATTCTGACAACCAAGTCAATGGGGGAAGCCAGATTCGCTTAACGACCACCTGTTTTACTTAACCACCGTGATTCGCTTAACAACTGTGGCCGAAAAAGATCGTAAAAATGGATGTGACTCATTTAGCAACTGCCTTTGCTGAGCCGTGGTGTCGCAGCGGTTAGAAGGCAGTACTGCAGGCCACTTCTGCCGGCTGCCTACAGTTTGGCGGTTCGATTCTCACCACTGGCTCAAGGTTGACTCGATCTTCCGTCCTTCCGAGGTCGGTAAAATGAGGACCCAGGTTGTTGGGGGCCATAGGCTGATTCTGTAAACCGCTTAGAAAGGGCTCTAAAGCACTCTAAAGCGGTATATAAGTCTAAGTGCTATTGCTATTAGCAATGGAAATTATGGTGTCAATTGTGGTCATAAGTTGAAGATCACCTGTATCAAAGACGGACTTATCTTGCTTAATATTGAATCAGTTTTGCCCCTAAATTCTGTATATAATTTAGCCACTTTACAGATATATGCTACTCAGACACATTTTACTTATTTATATTTACCGGTATTTATATTTGGTATTTCTTAACTGCCCATCTCCCTCAGAATTCAGAATTTCCTTTCTTTCCCCCCCCCCTTTTAATTTCCCAACGTCAGTTGCTTTTACCCCTTTGTGGTTTCCCATTATTAAATCAGTCCTTTCAACTACTTTTACCTTTTTAATCATTTCCAAAATTCTAGACAAATACCTTATTCGGTATCGTCTTTACGGAGGACTCTCGTACCAGTGCTGCTCCCAGATTAGGGCACATTAGTTTGGGTTGGGTCCTGCTCTCTCTGCTCTCAGAAAGCCCATCAGCACAACTTTTCAGTGTCGTGTTTTTTCTTCTTTTTTTTACTTGTTTAAAAAAAATGAAGAGGCTGGCGATCGAGCTTTCCCGGACCCGGAAATCCCATGGCGTCTCCCCTCCAGATAGTCACCTGAGCCCACAAAGCGACGACGGCCTGGAAATGAGACCAAAGAAATCAGGACCAAACTCAGACGTGCTTCTTGAGGCTGTGGCCAGCACAGCGCCCCCCAGAGACACAAAAGAAGAAGAGGAGGAAAAAGTACAATATGAAGATTTTAATGTAAGTAGTAGTAGTAGTAGTAGTAGTAGTAGTAACAACAACAACAACAACAACAACAACAACAACAATAATAATAATAATAATAATAATAATAATAAAGTTGGAAGGGACCTTGGAGGTCATCTAGTCCAACCCCCTGCTCGGGCAGGAAACCCTATACCATTTCAGACAAATGGCTGTCCAGTCTCTTCTTAAAAACTTCCAGTGTTGGAGCATTCACCGCTTCAGGAGGCAGGTTGTTCCACTGGTTAATTGTTCTCACTGTCAAGAAGTTTCTCCTTAGTTCTAGGTTGCTTCTCTCCTTGATTAGTTTCCATCCGTTGCTTCTTGTCCTGCCTTCAGGCGCTTTGGAGAATAGCTTGACTCCCTCTTCTTTGGGGCAGCCCCTGAGATATTCGAACACTGCTATCATGTCCTCCCTCGTCCTTCTCTTCATTAGACTAGACATACCCAATTCCAGCAGCCGTTCCTTATATTCTTGCTGCCTGTTCCAATGAATTTACCGCATACTGGTGGTTCTGCTCAGTGAATGGAAAGTACAGGTAGTCCACCATTCAGCCCAGCCCTTCTGTTGCTAAGCAAGACGGTTGTTAGGTCCATCACAGCATCCCTATGGTCACATGATCAAAAATAGGGTGCTTGGGAACTGGCATGTATTTAATGATGGTTGCAGTGTTCTAGGGTCACATGATCGCCATTTGCAACTTTCCCTGATGAACCAAGTCAATAGAGCAGGGGTTCTTCAAACTTGGCCCCTTCATGACTTGTGGACTTCAACTCCCAGAATTCCTCAGCCTGCATGCGGGAACTATGCCCCCCTTGATGACTTGTGGACTTCAACTCCCAGAATTCCTCAGCCAGCATGGGGGAACTATGGCCCCTTCATGACTTGTGGACTTCAACTCCCAGAATTCCTCAGCCAGCATGGGGGAACTATGGCTCCTTCATGACTTGTGGACTTCAACTCCCAGAATTCCTCAGCCAGCGTGCCTGGCTGAGGAATTCTGGGAGTTGAAGTCCACAAGTGAAAAGGGCCAAGTTTGAAGACCCCTGCAATAGAGGAGGCTGGATTTCCTTCACCACTGCAGTGATTCACTTATTAACAACCGTGGGGGGTTGTTAACAGTCACCTTGCTTAGCAACGGAAATCCTGGTCCCAGGATTGTGCTCATAAGTTGAGGGACTGCCTAAAGTTGTTAAAGACTACTTACGACTTGAGAAAAGGATCAGTAATGCTACATTTCATTGCTTTCCCTTCTTTTCCCCTGACCCTCATATCAGCAAGGGAAATACAGATAGTCCTCGACTGACAGCCGTAACTGAGCCCAACATTTCTGTGGCTAAATGAGACAGTTCAGTGAATTTTGCCCCATTTTACGACCTTTCTTGCCACAGCTAAGTGAATCACTGCCGTTGTTAAATTGGTGACACGGTTAAACTGAATCTCGCTTCCCCCATTGACTTTGTTTGCCAGAAGGTCACAAAAGGGGATCACATGATCCCAGAACACTGCAACTGTCATAAATACGAGTCAGTTGCCAGGCGTCTCAGTTTTGATCACACGACCGTGGGGATGCATCAATGGTCGTAAGTGTGAAAAACAGTCACAATCACTTTTTTTCCAGTGCTGTTGTAACTTTGAACAGTACAGAGAAGAGCAACAAAGATGATCAGGGGACTGGAGGCTAAAACATATGAGGAACGGTTGCTGGAATTGGGAATGTCTAGTTTAACGAAGAGAAGGACGAGGGGGGACATGATAGCCGTGTTCCAGTATCTCAGGGGCTCCGTCAAAGAAGAGGGAGTCAAGCTATTCTCCAAAGCGCCTGAAGGCAGGAGAAGAAGCAACAGATGGAAACTAATCAAGGAGAGAAGCAACCTAGAACTAAGGAGAAACTTCCTGACCGTGGGAACAATTAACCAGTGGAACAACCTGCCTCCAGAAGCGGTGAATGCTCCAACACTGGAAGTTTTTAAGAAGAGACTGGACAGCCATTTGTCCGAAATGGTATATAGGGTTTCCTGCCTGAGCAGGGGGTTGGACTTGATGACCTCCAAGGTCCCTTCCAACTTTTTTTTATTTATTATTATTATTATTATTATTATTATTATTATTATTATTATTATTATTATTATTATTATTATTATTATTATTATTATTATCTTTAAACAATTCAGTGGGCTTTTTCATCCTCGAATCACGGGTGCTTTTGCAGCTCAAACTGGGTTCTATTTTAACTGGACAGCCATTTGTCTGAAATGGTATAGGGTTTCCTGCCTGAGCAGGGGGTTGGACTAGATGACCTCCAAGGTCCCTTCCAACTTTATTGTTGTTGTTGTTGTTGTTATTATTATTATTATTATTATTATTATTATTATTATTATTATTATTATTATTATTATTATTATTATTATTATTATTATTATCTGTTGAAAGTCGAGGACTCCCTGTAATTCATCTCCTTGGCTTTATAAACAGGGGATTTGAAGTGTACGCAGGGAAGCTTCTGTGCTCCTGATTTTTCAGAGTCGTGCTTTTCTTTCTAATCAGCTGTTTGTGAGAATCGCTGCTTCCTTTACCACCGTTACTCTGAGTAAGCCTTTTGTTCACCAAATCCGCTCCGAATTGCAGCACGAGCTCTCCGACGGAGATTTGGACGTTGACTTCGTTGGCCAAGAGGAGGCAAACCATTTGGACGGCAGCAGTTCCTCCGTGAGCTCAACCGCCACCAGCAACACAGAGGAAAACGACATAGATGAAGAGACCATGTAAGTCACGGCAGGGATTTCCTTTCCCTGCCTCTGTTGACATGTGATGCCTTCTCACGTCCCTGAGTGTGTGTGTGTGTGTGTGTGTGTGTGTGTGTGTGTGTGTGAGAAATATCCCCAGCTCTTCACCGATGTTCCAAAAATGTCACCGGGAAGGCTTAAATGTTCGTATAAGCCTAAAGCCGAGATTTTTCACATCCACTCAGCTTGGTGAGACTTCCTGTGCGTAGGATTAGACTGCAACTAATCCATATATTTAAGCTGCGTTGGGAAGCACTTTCATTGTAAACCTGGCAATCAGATTGGAAGGCTGGAGATGTTTTATAGATAAATTCGTAGAATTTAATGGATGAAAAGGACCTTCTAAATAAAAGGGATCGATGAATATTCCCTCCAGAAATTGGGGTTAACTCTCAGAATAGCAGAGTTAGAACCCCCTGCTCAAGCAGGAGACCCTATACCAGACATGTCAAACACAAGACCCAGGGGCTGGATGCGGCCCGCGAAGTAGTTGCATGTGGCCCGCGAAGCCATCCTGGAAACTGAGGGAATGGCCCCCGCTGCTTTGGCCCTGGCCCAGGCCGGCCGGGAGCCAATGTACAATTTTGTGGTGGCCATCTATGCTGAAGCGCATTCAGTCTTAGCTCCACAAGGACGTCTAGAAACAGCGAGGAACCAGCCCCTGCCGCGTCAGCCCCACCCCCTGGGTGCATGCTGGGGAGGGGTCACTCTTTGTGAGGCATGAAGAAATGCACCATGCCTTGGCACTTGCCCCGGTCTCACCCCCTTCTGCCAGAGACCCTCAGATCTCTCCCACTCCTGCCCAGGCCCCCACAGGCCCCCTTGACGCGAACGATGTAGAGCTGGCCACGCCCACCCAGTAGGCCACACCCACTCCATCCACACCCACCCTGTAGGCCGCACCCACCCTGCCCCCCCCGCCCCCCCAGGGCAACCGCAATGCTGATGCGGCCCTCAATGAAATTGAGTTTGACACCCCTGCCCTATACCATTTCAGACAAATGGCTGTCCACTCTTTTCTTAAAAACCTCCAGTGCTGGAGCACCCACAATTTAATGGAGGCAAGTCGTCATACCTCTAGTGGTGGCGCAGGGGTGATGGGATGGGGGGGCCAAGAGTACCTAGGCTGTAGAGCAGAGGTCCCCAATCTTTTTGACACCAGGGACCGGTTTCCAGAAAAGACCATTTTTCCACAGACTTGATGGGGGAAGGATGGTTTCACATGCTACCTAGATCCCGTGCATGGACAGATATAGCTTTGTTCACTTCCACAGCCCAGTTCCTAACAGGCCGCAGACTGGTACCGGTCCACAGCCCGGGGATTGGGGACCCCTGCTTTAGAGGGTCAAACTTTAGTTGAACTATTTTTGTCTCCTCTGAGAGTTTCTCTTTTTGTTTTTTTGTTGAATTTATAAAAGTGCAGGCAGGTAGCCCTCGACTTACAACCATTATTACAAGGGCACTGAAAAAAGTGACATTGTAACATTCCCATGGTCAAGCAATCCAAATTCGGGCACTTGGCAACTGGAATGTATTTATGACCGTTGCACTGTCCAGTGGTCATATGATCACTTTGTAACCTCCCAGCTGGCTTCTGCCAAGCAGAGTCCATGGGGGAAACCAGATCCACTTAACAACTGCAATGATTCTCTTAACAGCTGTGGCAAAAAAAAAAACTTGTAAAATGGGGCACAACTCGCTTAACTGCCTCGCTTAGCAATGGAAATTTTGGGCTCAATTGTGGTCGTAAGTCGAGGACTATCTGTATTCTAAAAGGGGATCTCGGATCATCTAATCCAGTAGTTCTTAACCTTTTTGAAAGAATCGCCCCCTTGAGCCAATGAGGAAGTTGTCATCGCCCCTTCCCCCAACATAACCTCTCAATCACAACATAGAAAATAATTCTTCAATTTATGCAAACGCTTTTTTTGTTTTCTTTAAAATTGTCATCAGGACATATCGATGCAAATAATTTATTTCCAGTCTTTTTCCCATATCTCAACTGTTTGAAAAATTTTGGTGCCACCCGTCACTTTATTCCCAAACTTCGTGATACGTGTATTTCATTATTATCTTATTTATTCAAGACACTTAAATGTAATGACCACTGAAAACAAAATTCAACTGCAAAAAAGTGAAATGCCCGAAAAGAAAAACAGTAACATTTAATGATTGAATTACAAGTGAAATTTAAGACGCAAAAAGGAATATAAAAAGGGTAGAGGCTGCTGCGCAACGCGCATGAAGATAAGCGATGCGTATTCACATATGTACGGCATTCTGTACTGAAGCTAGCTGGAGGAACATTTGAAAACACAATTCAATCCACTAATAGCGAGCGATCTGATGTTTTTGTACGACAGATATGCAGCGATTCACTGTACGAAAAAGTCTCAAAAGTGTCCCCCAAACCTCTCGCTCCATCGCCCCCATATCGCCCCCTTTTTGTTCCTTCGCCCCCGCGTCGCCCCTTTTTGTTCCATCGCCCCCCTGAAAAACGAAATCGCCCCCTGGGGGGCGATATCGCCCAGGTTAAGAACCACTGATCTAATCTAACTAACCTTACTTCAGATATAAAAATCCACCACTTTAGGAGCGCCTTAAGTAGCTCTCTGGGATCTGTACTTTGTCATTTCCCCTCTGAAACGGCCCAGTTGATTCCATTACCACAGGTCACTGTTTTTCTACATGGTGTTGCAGCTGCCCCTAGGTGCAGATGAACTCAGGATTTTATCCTGCTACAGTGAAATTGTAATTTCGGCGCAATTCAGAATTTCTGTGCAATTCAGAACTCTTCAAACGGTATTTGTAGAATGAACGTTTTCTCAAACCTGGCGCTTAGCAGGAACTTTGTGACCTTTACTTTGCCCTCAAGGTCTGGAGAGAACGATGTGGAATACACTCACAACATGGAACTGGAGGAAGGAGACCTGGTAGAAGAAGCTACATCTGCCCCAGCAGGGGCCTCAGGTATACGTAGAGAAAAGGCTTTTTTTATAATGGCATTTCTGTGGAAAGCATCCCTTCTTTCTTTCTCCACCTCAGAAGCCACGTGGAGTTGGGGATTCTGTAGGATTTTCTATTTTTGGAACTGCTGCATCACATATCATGTGTAGAGATTATTTAATGTAGGGCAGTCATCCCATTAGCTCAAATTCAAAGGAGGCTTGCAGCTGGGATTAAAAAAAACCCATATCGGTATAATACTAGCTGTGAGATTACTATTGGGGAAGGCTGTCAGAGAAAGTTGAGTTTTTGAGAGGTAATAACAATAATGATAATAATAAAGTTGGAAGGGACCTTGGAGGTCATCTAGTCCAACCCCCTGCTCAGGCAGGAAAACTATACCATTTCAGACAAATGGCTGTCCAGTTTCTTCTTAAAAACTTCCAGTGTTGGAGCATTCACCGCTTCTGGAGGCAAGGAGTTCCACTGGTTAATTGTTCTAACTGTCAGGAAGTTTCTCCTTAGTTCTAGGTTGCTTCTCTCCTTGCTTAGTTTCCACCCATTGCTTTTTGTCCTGCCCTCAGGAGCTTTGGACAATATCTTGACTCCCTCTTCTTTGTGGCAGCCCCTGAGATATTGGAACACTGCTATCATATCCCCCCTCGTCCTTCTCTTCATTTGCCATACTGCAGGGAAAAGACTGTTCCTGGGCATTTGTGTCTTTTTAACGTAGGAAGCTTTAATGCCTTCTTTTAAAACTTCTGAAGTTCTTCTGATGTACATTGTTTAGATAGTAGATACAGAAGAATTTAAATACATCTGTCTTTTGCATGGTTGATTTGAATGTAATTCAGAAACAGATTCTTCATACAGGTAGTCCTTGACTTCCGACCACAATTGAGCCCAAAATTCATGTTGCTAAGTGAGAAATTTGTTAAGTGAATTTTGCCCCACTTTATGAGCTTTCTTGCCACAGCTGTTAAGTGAATCACTGCAGTTGTTAAGTTAGTAACCTGGTTGTTAAATGAATCTGGCTTCCCCCATTGACTTTGCTTGTCGGAAGGTTGCAAAAGGGGATCACATAATCCCGGGACACTTGCAACCGTCATAAATATGAGTCAGTGGTCAAGCATCCGAATGTAAATCACATGACCCTGGGGATGCTGCAACAGTCATAAGTGTGAAAATGGGTATAAGTCACTTTTTTCAGTTGTAACTTTGAATGGTCACAAAACAAACTGTTGTAACTCGAGGACTACCTGTATTTGATGAGATTTTTTTTAATAATTGGAAAAGCATTGTTTTTAAACAAGCACTGCAAGGCTAGTAAAATTATGCTGAAAATGTGGATATCTGGGACAGATCTGCCAGGTATATTATGGGCAGTAGGGAACAGCATCTGTATTTTCATATTACAGTTCTGTTTATAACTGTCAAAATCCTATTGTGACTTAGATAACAATCACTGGTATATGGCAGGCAAATTATACCTTTGACAGAATTTCTTCCGAGCCGAGAAATTAATTTATATTTAGCTGATTAATACCACCTCCTTTACAACAGCAGAAATGGAGACATGATGTCTCAGAGCAAAATGACTGAATGCATTATTTAGGATTTTTTTCCCTTTTTAAATGTTTGATGTTGGTGAACTGCTCAGTTAACAGTCTCTGTAGCCCACTCATTTAAAAGGATCTCTCATTCTGTTCCTTTCTTGTTCTTAATCACCTGTTTTTAAGGAGCTTTAAAATGGGAATTTGACTTCCCAGTTAAATTAATCCCTTATTAAATTAATTCTAGACTACTTATCAACAGGGGTAGTATGCTACCCAACGTTTCTTCTTCCTTTTTAAAGAGAGCTCATAATAGGAAAGCCAAGAGACCTAACTAGCAATTTAAATAGTTTCATAATGTAAACAATAATACTTTCATTGTTTAAAGTGTTTTTAGTGATTGTTGGCCTGTGGTTGATTTTGTATTGGTTCTGAATTTTTAACTTTGCTCCAGGATCCTCCTCATTCCTTCATATCTGCAGTTCCATTTCTTAACATTGTTTAATAACAAAATAACAGAGTTGGAAAGGACCTTGAAGGTCATCTAGTCCAACCCCCTGCTCAGGCAGGAAGCCCTATACCATTTCAGACAAATGGCTGTCCAGTCTCTTCTTAAAAACATCCAGTGTTGGAGCATCCACAACTTCTGGAGACAAGACGGTTTGATAGTTTGGTTTCAACTATTCACTGATTGATATAGATTTCTTGATATCTTTATTTTTAAAAATAATTAAATCAGTCATGCATCAACAGGGAAAGGGTTCATGTCTTTTCATTCCTGTGATGGCACATATCTCCTATTTAGCACCATTTGAAGGTCTATCCATATCTAGCACCCCTGTTTTGGATTGCTAGAAAATCAAATAAACCAATCATTTTATATTTTTAATAGATTCTACTCCCTTTTCTTCAGTTTCTAAATGTATAAAGAAACGAATATTCGCTATCCTGCATTTCTATCGTACCACGATTTTGAGACCACGTGAGGCTATTTTGGTGGGGGGAATGTTATATTTCTCCACAAAATAGCTTAATATGCTCATTTTCTTATTTCTCTATGGGTCTGTTTAGGTACACGTTTGTTAGTGTTCACAGTTGATTTCACTATTAGAGGCAATGCTAATAAGATTGTCCAACTGCATCCAGTTTTGGTGACCACGATGTAAAAAAGATGTTGAGACTCTAGAAAGAGTGCAGAGAAGAGCAACAAAGATGATTTTAGGGGACTGGAGGCTAAAACATATAAAGAACGGCTGCTGGAATTGGGTATGTCTAGTTTAATGAAGAGAAGGACGAGGGGGGACATGATAGCAGGGTTCCAGTATCTCAGGGGCTGCCACAAAGAAGAGGGAGTCAAGCTATTCTCCAAAACACCTGAAGGCAGGACAAGAAGCAATGGATGGAAACTAATCAAGGAGAGAAGCAACCTAGAACTAAGGAGAAACTTCCTGACAGTGGGAACAATTAACCAGTGGAACAACCTGCCTCCAGAAGCGGTGAATGCTCCAACACTGAAAGTTTTTAAGAAGAGACTGGATAGCCATTTATCTGAAATGGTATAGGGTTTCCTGCCTGAGCAGGGGGTTGGACTAGATGACCTCCAAGGTCCCTTCCAACTTTTTTATTATTATTATTATTATTATTATTATTATTATTATTATTATTATTATTATTATTATTATTATTATTATTATTATGGATCATCGCACAGTCAGCCAGATGTTCAGACTGGATTTGGCATTTATTATTATTATTATTATTATTATTATTATTATTATTATTATTATTATTATTATTATTATTATTATTATTATTATTAACTAGCTGACATCTAAGAATTACTGAGTGCCTAAAATTGTTGCAAACTACTCATTTTTTCTTCTTCTTCTTCTTCTTCTTCTTCTTCTTCTTCTTCTTCTTCTTCTTCTTCTCCTTCTCCTCCTCCTCCTCCTCCTCCTCCTCCTCCAGGTGGGAGCCATGCATACCGCACAACAGCCAGCCACTTGTCAAAGCGAGGAAATGCACTCACTTCTGCCAGTAGCAGCTTGCTTGATATAGATCCCTTAATATTAATCCATTTGCTGGACCTGAAGGACAGAAATGGGATGGAAAACCTGTGGGGTCTACAGCCACGCCCACCCACCTCACTTTTGCAGAACAGAGGTGAGTCGGGGACATGAGGGGACAGAAAGCTTTGTGAAGAAGCCTTCCATCTTTTCTGGGGAGATACTAAAAATGAATTTCTCACTTGGGGAATCTCCCTCAAAAGAGCTACTTATTCTTGGCGACTATTCTTAAGGTACGATTCCTGATAGTGTTTTAAGTCGATGAAGATAAAGTCTCCCACTAAAATTAGGGAGAGTCTAAAGATACTAAGAGTATGCTTTAGAAAGCCGAACCATTTAAACTTCCACAGACAATGAATACATCGATATGGTGTCGTTTTGTGCTTCAGGGCCTTGAGAAAAGAAGGAATTACAGGTAGTGCTCGACTTAACGACCACAATTGACCCCAAAATTTATGTTGCTAAACAAGACAGTTGTTTAGTGAATCACTGCAGCTGTTAAGCGAGTAACATGATTGTTAAGTAAATCTGATTTCTCCATTGACTTTGCTTGTCAGAAGGTCACAAAAGGGGATCACATGATCCCGGGGACCATCCTAATTATGAGCCAGTTGCCAAGCGTCTGAATTTTGTTCATGTGATCCTGGAGATGCTGCAATGGTTGTAAGTGTGAAAACAGTCATAAGTCACTTTTCAGTACCGTTATAACTTTGAACGGTCATTAAAAGAACTGTTGTAAGTCGAGGACTATTTGTATAATTAAAACTGTAGTAATTTGTAAATAACAGGCAGAAACAATATTAAATATTCGGTGTCCTATGGTACCTGTAAATGGATATCCTACATCAGGGGTGTCAAACTCAATTTCATTTGAGGGCCGCATCAGCATTGCGGTTGCCCTCGGGGGGGGCGGGGTGGGTGGATGTGGCCAGGGTGGGTGCGACCTACTGGGTGGGCGTGGATAGAGTGGGTGTGGCCTACTGGGTGGGCGTGGCCAGCTCTACATCGTTCACGTCAAGGGTGCCTGTGGGGGCCTGGGCAGGAGTGGGACAGATCTGAGGGTCTCTGGCAGAAGGGGGTGGGACCGGGGCAAGCGCCAAGGCATGGTCCATTTCTTCATTCCCCACAAAGGGGGACCCCTCCCCAGCATGCACCCAGGGGGCGGGGCCGACGTGGCAGGGGCTGGTTCCTCGCTGTTTCCAGACGGCCTTGTGGAGCTAAGACTGAATACGTTTCAGCATAGATGGCCACCACAAAATTGTACATTGGCTCCCGGCCGACGTGGGCCAGGGCCAAGGCAGCGGGGGCCGTTCCCTCACTGTTTCCAGGATGGCTTCGCAGGCCACATGAAACCACTTCGCGGGCCGTATCCGGCCCCTGGGCCTTGTGTTTGACATGTCTGTCCTACATGCTAAAAAAATATAAACAAGATTCATTCATTTCTTCATTCATTCATTCATTCACTCTTCATTCATTCATTCAGTTAATTTCTGTAGCCATCCATCTCAGTCAATGACTCTAGACAGCTTACAATTTTATATATATATAAATGCTATTTATATATATATAGCATTCAAAACTAAAAACATTTTAAAACAATAAAAAATAGAAACAAATTAAATATACCTGAAATACTTGGCCAGTTAGCAATAACAGCTGGTGGTTATATCAAGATGGAATATGTTTTTAAAGTCTCATCTGTAATTTAACAGTAAGATAATGAGAATTTGGAAAGCAACACTCGAGAAAGCAATCAGTACAAATATTGAGAGAGTGCCTGTCCTATTGAGAGAGCTTGAAGACATAGGCTGGCAATGTGATAGCCACGGGCACCAGGATGTGTATTACATTTGCTCAATAGCATATGTAGGATTCAGAAACTAAACAAAAGCAAATTTAGATCTTTATAAAAAAAATAACAACTGTCATTTTGGCAACGTCACCATAGAGATTCTGTACATCCTTGCGTGGAGTTGTTAGCTTAGCAACATTTTTACTTTTGATTTTAATGAGCTTGACTGAGACATAAATTGTGCCTTCAAAGGTTGTTGCTTCTTGTTCTTAGGAAAGAGCAGGGAACGTGTAGGTCAGACATGTCAAACACAAGGCCCAGGGGCCGGATGCGGCCCGTGAAGTGGTTTCATGTGGCCCGCGAAGCCATCCTGGAAACAGTGAGGGAACGGCCCCCGCTGCTTTGACCCTGGCCCAGGCCGGCCGGGAGCCAATGTACAATTTTGTGGTGGCCATCTATGCTGAAACGCATCCAGTCTTAGCTCCACAAGGCCGTCCGGAAACAGCGAGGAACCAGCCCCTGCCGCGTCTGCCCCGCCCCCTGGGTGCCTGCTGGGGAGGGGTCACTCTTTGTGAGGAATGAAGAAATGGACCATGCCTTGGCGCTTGCCCCGGTCCCACCCCCTTCTGCCAGAGACCCTCAGATCTGTCCCACTCCTGCCCAGGCCCCCACAGGCACCCTTGACACAAATGATGTAGAGCTGGCCGTGCCCACCCAGTAGGCCACATCCACTCCCTCCACGCCCACCCAGTAGGCTGCGCCCACCCTGGCCACACCCACCCGGCCCCTGAAGGGCAACCGCAATGCTGATGCGGCCCTCAATGAAATTGAGTTTGATACCCCTGGTGTAGGTCATTGCTAGCCTTTCTCCCTCAGTTTTTTATGTTCTCCTTCTGGCTTTGTCTTCTCCTCCCCCTCCCCCTCCCCTTTTTGTTTTTCCTCCTCCTCCTCCTCCTGCTTTGGGTGTCAAAGAAGATACAAAGTTCTGGTTCTTGCTCTGCTGGCAGCCTCAATCCTTGTTAATTGATGTTGTAGTGCGTCTTCGATGATGTCTCTCCATCTTCTTTGATTGCCTTTTTCTGTGCGTTGTGGAAGCACGATTTAATTATATATCTCGTGTATTAAGTACAGACCCTCTGCCTTCTTTGTTTTGACCCCTTTGCCATTTCCTTGTTTGTTTGTTTTGTTTATTGAATTTATTTGCCGCCCATTTTGTAGCAAATGTAAGGACCCACTTCAATCCCACATCTTAAGAAAGCAGAACTCTTGGAAACGGTTTCTTCCAACAGGGACTTTTATTAAGAGAAATTGATAGCAGGCATGATAGACAGGATCTGAGGGATTCCCTTACAATTTGAATATTTAATATTTAAATACAGTTTATTTAAAGTGTCCCTAAGCAGCCCCACCCCACCCCGGGGCGATTCAAATCGGCAGATTTCTAAGTGTTAACTCCAGGAAAGATAACATCAATCCGACTGAGTTGGCACGATCATTCAACATCTCCTCACACAGATCCCGGCTCGCTGGCGGGTAAGGAGGAGATGTTCAGAGGGGCATAGGATGAAAGGCAAATGGCTATATCAGTGATGGCGAACCTTTTAGAGACCGAGTGCCCAAAAACTGGCCCCGCCCCCGCTCCACCCCCTGCCCTGCCTCCACCCCGCCTGCCCGCAGGGCCACTCACCGCCTCCAGGGCCCGCCGCAGATCGCCCAGCAGCGCCATGGCGGCCACCCCCTCTGCCCGCGCCCCACAGCATCAACTGTGCGCGATGGGGCATGAGGGCAGAGTCTTGTCTACGCTGCCTGGCTTCCATGTCCTCGGCTGCACTGCTCCGCGTGGGCCACGCTCGGGGGTGACTCTCCTCCAGGGGGGCTGCTGGTGAGGGGGTTGTGGGGGGAGGCAAGGCTGGGGCAACGGCACGTGTGCCCACAAAGAGGGCTCCAAGTGCCGCCTCTGGCACCCGTGCCTTAGGTTTGCCACCACTGGGCTATATTGTTATGGTTAGAAGATCCGAAGCAAATCAACAAAAGGTTACTTTGTAGTGCAGTGGTTCTCAACCTTTTTAATGCCGCGACCCCAACCGGTCGTAAGTCGAGGACTAAACCGGTCGTATGTCGAGGACTAAACCTGTCGTAAGTCAAGGACTACTCAACCGGTCGTAAGTCGAGGACTTTCCCTGCCCGGGAGTGCCGCACATGCGTGGTTCCGCCCCCTGCGCCGGCCGAGGCGTAGCTGGCAAGCGGCAGAGACGGAGCAGGCCGACCACCAGCTGGCCCAGCCCAAGGGAGGTAAGGCACCTGCCGGAAAAGGGAAAAAAAATGGCGGACAAAAAAATGGCGGACAAAAAAAAATGGCGGACAGTCTTGCTTGGCGACCCCCATGAAATGGTCGATCGACCCCAAATGGGGTCCCGACCCACAGGTTGAGAACCACTGTTGTAGTGAATAGAGGAAGTGAAAGTAATAAAAAAACCCATGCATACCTCCCCTCCCCCTTAATATGACGGCATCCAGGAGAGGGTAAGAATTGGTTTTATATCAGAGAAGATAGATAGAAACGAAATATAACTGGATTCTGACAGCAAATGACTTTTATTCTGCTCTCTTGGTGTCAGACTATATGCAGCTCCCAGCCCCTAAAAGCTCTGTGCTCCTGTAACTCCATCAGACCTTTGTTTCTAGTTTTACCCATGCCAGAAATGGGAGGGAGGGTGGAGGAGAGGAGGAAGAGCCAGAAATAGGGCTCTTTATACAGTACAAATTGAATAGATCTTCTCCTTCCCTGTGATATTTTCAGAATCTTCCACAGTAAACTGCGTGTCACTTCGCATAGAAAAGACTCAGCTGCCTGACCTTTTCTCAGTAACGTTTCTATTTCTTTAATAAAGGTCTGTGCCTAACGGGAAGCGTGAAAAATTAGCTAAAGCAAACACTCTGGTTATGTTAATTTTTACGTAATTTATTGCAGATTTGTGCTCCAGAGAGAGGCCTTTACGTTCGGTGGAAAAATTCCATCTAGTTTTGGTCCATTACTGAAATGCTATTGCGGTAAAAATGATATTTTAGATAATGGGGCTATGCGCCATTTGGATATACTGCAAGGTAGCTGCATATTATTACAGTCCGACATTATAATCTCTAGTGAGCCATTTCAAATTTGATTTTCTTTTAGGGGAGTATTTGTTGCCATAAATGAGCTTTTCTCCCTTTGGAGCCTCCCAAAGTCATAGCAGTTAGTGGAACTGCGGTCCGCCTGTCCTTACATTCCTGCAGTCCTCCCATCATCCTTTGCCTAACTCAGGGGTCTTCAAACTTGGCCCTTTTTTGACTTGTGGACTTCAACTCCCAGAATTCCTCAGCTAGACTTCAACTCCCAGAATTCCTACGTTACTTTGTAGTGGACATCAGGATGCTAGACACCACCCCCTTTTGGTCAAGGCTTCTCCTAGACTGGGGAATTCTGGGAGTTGAAGTCCCCCCCCCGCCCATCTTAAAGTTCCTAAGCTCAGTCTAGATCAGGGGTCTTCAAACTTGGCCCTTTTATGACTTGTGGACTTCAACGCCCAAAATTCCTCAGCCAGGTATGCGTGCCTGGCTGAGGAATTCTGGGCGTTGAAGTCCACAAGTCATAAAAGGGCCAAGTTTGAAGACCCCTGGCCTAACTGATCATCTGTGAAGTATTTTGATATTGCTTCATTTGATACCAAATAGACGCTAATAACTCTAATCCATTAAAAATTAGATATGCGGTATCCTTAAGTGGATGTGCAATCAAAGAATGAAGTCTCAACTAGTGTTCAGGTCTGGTATAAAGCTTTGGTTAGCAAAACATTGGTAAAAGAGGTAGCTAGGCCTCTGTGGTACCTTGTATTGGGCAACGGTTGCTCTCCAACAATTTCAGTCAGATCCCATTGAATTGCATCTATTGTTTCACTGGTGGTAAAATATCTTTTATGGGGTCCTTGGTGCTCTCAGAGCTTGATTATTTCCTTGCAGACGTTTTATTACCCAAGTACAGGTGGTCCTCAACTTACAACAGTTACAACGGCACTGAAAAAAGTGCCGATTGTGACCATTCGAAGTTACAACGGCACGGAAAAAGTGCCGATTGTGACCATTTTTCAAACTTAGCGACCGTTGTGGTCATTTGTTGTTGTTGTTAGTTGCGAAGTCGTGTCCGACCCACTGCGACCCCATGGACAACGTTCCTCCAGGTCTTCCTGTCCTCTACCATCTTCTGGAGTCCATTTAAGCTCACGCCTCCTGCTTCAGGGACTCCATCCAGCCCCCTCATTCTCTGTCGTCCCCTTCTTCTCTTGCCCTCCATCTTTCCCAGCATCGGGCTCTTCTCCAGTGAGTCCTTCCTTCTCATTAGGTGGCCAAAGTCCTTGAGTTTCAACTTCAGGATCTGGCCTTCTAAAGAGCAGTCGGGGTTGATCTCCTCTAGGACTGACCGGTTGGATCGCCTTGCAGTCCAGGGGACTCGCAGGAGTCTTCTCCAGCACCAGAGTTCAAAGGCCTCCATTCTTTGGCACTCAGCCTTTCTTATGGTCCAACTTTCACAGCCATACATTGCAACTGGGAAAACCCCGGCCTTGACTCTACGCACTTTTGTTGGCAGGGTGACGTCTCTGCTTTTTAGTATGCTGTCTAGATTTGCCATAGCTTTCCTCCCCAGGAGCAAGCGTCTTTTAATTTCTTGGCTGCAGTCCCCATCAAAATGATCAGAATTCAGATGCTTGACACCTGTCTCATATTTATGACGGTTGCATTGTCCCGGGGTCACGCGATCCCCCTTTGCGACCTTCTGACAAGCAAAGTCAATGGGGGAAGCCGGATTCACTTAACAACCGTGTTCCTAACTTTAACAACTGCAGTGCTTCTCTTAGCCACTGGGGCAAAACTCACTTAACAAATATCTCACTTAGCAACAGGAGTTGTGGGCTCAGTTGTGGTCGTAAGTCAAGGACTACCTGTAGGGTAACATTATCAGTGCTGAAAGGGTTTGTTCTCGGCTTGCCCTGTCAGTGTCGGTGGGAGTGTTCTTGGTGGTTCCTTGATTAGGCTGTGGTTTATTGTCGGCTTGTTTGTCTGAGTTGGTAGTTCCTTGATTGGGCTATTGTTTACTGCTTTATACAACATTAATCTTGGTGTTTTGCAGCGTCAAGGTTTTAGCCCAATGCCCAACCTTTATTTTATTTTATTTATTTTATTTTTTTAAATCAAATTTCTGTACCACCCATCTCACCCTCAGGGGATCCTGCATGAAAGAGACCTTCCTCCTGTCTCATCCGGGTTTAGAACTAGCACTGGAAATTAAACCCTATAACTAAGGCCTTAATCCCCTATAGCAGTGATGGCGAACCTTTTAGAAACCGAGTGCCCAAACCGCAACCCAAAACCCACTTATTTATCGCAAAGTGCCAGGGCCGCATCAGCACTGTGGTGCCCTCAGGGGGGTGGGGGTGGCCCACTGGGTGGGGGTGGCTGCGGTGGTCACGGCAGACTGAGTGGGCGTGGCCAGGGTGGGCATGGCCACCTTGATGTTGCTTGTGGGGGACGCCTGTGGGGGCTGGGCAGGATTGGGGGAGATCCAGGGGGTCTCTGGTGGGTGGGGTGGTGGGCAGGAGGCTCGTCCTGCGGGGTGAGGCAGGGGGTAGGGCGGGAGTGCCATTGCTGCAGGGCAAGGCGAGGCAGGGGCGGCTGCTGCCTGACACCATCAGCCTCCGCACACAGAGAGCAGCAAGCACATGGGGGCGCACTCTACCACCTCTACTCGAGCTTGCTAGCCAGCTGCTTTGCCTTTGTGCTGGGTGGGGCTGCTACTCCGGGCGCCAGCGGTGGCCTAATGGACCTGTGCGAGCTGGCGGCGGCGGCAGGTGTGCCCACAGAGAGGGCTCTGAGTGCCGCCTCTGGCACACGTGCCATAGGTTCGCCATCACTGCCCTATAGATGCTGCCATGGGATGCCCTGGAAACCGTTTTTGGTGGCGAGCTTGAGTGTTCTTTCCCTTTCTTCTCTGTTCAGCATCGTACTCTTTAAAAGAGAAAGACCAGCGGAGGCATCAGGCAATGTGGCGCGTTCCGCCAGACCTTAAAATGCTGAAGAGGTTGAAGAGTCAGATGGCTGAAGTACGGAGTAAGATGTCGGATGTGAAGAACCAGCTGTCCGAGGTTCGGAGCAGCAACACCAACCCTTCTGACGGGCAGACCACCTACGCCTTCCCTGGTGACCAGGGCACCTTGGCAGCCTGCGGGACAGAAAGCTACAACAAGCTGCAGGAACTTGGGAGGGAGCTGCTGACAAAATCATCCCTCTCTAGCTGCTATATTCGGAATTGTAAGTGGAAATGGGTTTAGTCATCCCTTCTGTAAGAAAGGAGCCATTTAACAACCTGTTGGGTGCAGCCTTTTAAAATCTCAAGACCGGATTGCGCCCGCCTTGATAAAGCACTGATTTTAAATGAAATTTCAATTTTTAAGTCCTTCAATGGTGAAAAGAGCAAGGTTCTACATTTAGGCAAGAAAAACCAAATGCACAGGTATAGTATAGGGGGTACCTTGCTCAGTAGTAGTAACTGTGAGAGGGACCTCGGAGTCCTAGTGGACAGTCACCTAAATATGAGCCAGCCCTGTGCTGCAGCTGCCAAAAAAGCCAACACAGTGCTGGGCTGCATTAACAGAGGGATAGAATCAAGATCATGTGAAGTGTTAATACCACTTTACAAGGCCTTGGTAAGGCCACACTTGGAATACTGCATCCAGTTTTGGTCACCACGATGTAAAAAAGATGTTGAGACTCTAGAAAGAGTGCAGAGAAGAGCAACAAAGATGATTAGGGGACTGCAGGCTAAAACATATAAGGAACGGTTGCTGGAATTGGGTATGTCTAGTTTAACGAAGAGAAGGACGAGGGGGGACATGATAGCAGTCTTCCAATATCTCAGGGTCTGCCCCAAAGAAGAGGGAGTCAAGCTATTCTCCAAAGTGCCTGAAGGCAGGACAAGAAGCAACGGGTGGAAACTAAGCAAGGAGAGAAGCAACCTAGAATTAAGGAGAAACTTCCTGACAGTTAGAACAATTAACCAGTGGAACCACCTGTCTCCAGAAGCAGTGAGTGCTCCAACACTGGAAGTTTTTAAGAAGAGACTGGACAGCCATTTGTCCGAAATGGTATAGGGTTTCCTGCCTGAGCAGGGGGTTGGACTTGATGACCTCCAAGGTCCCTTCCAACTTTACTACTATTATTATTATATAGTTTGAGAAAGTTGTAAAAGCTGTGAAAATTAATCTGCTTTTGTCAAGGCACTGATGGCTGATGGAGACCATTGTCTTAAAGCTTTACATTTCACAGGGAGATTCAGGCGCACAGTTCACGGCACCCACAAGCTAATGGCTACCGCTGGCCAGCTGTACAGATAATCCTCCATTTACAACCATTGGCTAGTGACTGTTCCAAGATACAACGGCAGTGAAAAAAGCGACGTATTGACCGGTTTTCACGCTTAACGACCGTTTTGGCATCCCCATGGTCATGTGATCAAAATTCAGGCACTTGGCAACTGGCATATATGTATGACAGTGTCCCAGGGTCATGTGATCATCATTTGTAACCTTCCCAGCCGGCTTCCGACAAGCAAAGTCTGTGGGGGGAAGCCGGATTCGCTTAATGAGCGAAGCAAATTAGAATTTAAAAAAAATTAGATGGACGGATCGATGAATGGATGGTTCGATGGAGGGATCGATCAATAGACAGACTGAAATTCTTTTATCCTTTTATCTGGCCTGTTCCTTTAAATAAGATACACCCTTCAGTCCTTGCATTCCAGTCAGGTTTTGGCCCCCAGGTTACATTAAATGGTAACATGGAGCAATACCACAGTTTCCCAAACTTGATAAATTCCAGATATGTGTGCTGTAATGCTGGAATTCTCACCGATGGCCCTGTTGGCTCAGGAGTTTTGAGAGTTAAAATCCAAGCATTAGGAAGGTGCCTGGGTTGAAAACTACTGACGTAGACGAAGCAAACTATATGGGAGCTTCAATTAAGGAAGACAATGTCCATCTTTGAGCTGAGATAAAATACCTTGTTTTAGAAGTTCTAAAATAATGGTAACGATCTCTTTTTAAGTCTAACCCAGATCTACTTAACGTCTCTCTCTTTTTAAAATGTTACTTGTATTTAAAGCTGAAGTGTTTTTGTTTTTTTGTTTTTTTTAATCCTGTAGCCGCAAATAAGAAAAATAGTTCAACTAAAGCTGGTCGCTCAGGGGCCGCAGGCAGCCTGTCTTTGCGAAGGGCGATGGATTGTGGGGATGGAAATATCCTTTTGAAGCCAGAGTGTCAGCTTTCCTCTGAAGGTATAAATATATCTGGGGCATAGGGGTGCATTTGCATAGTATTTTGCATGCTGCTTGTGAGTTTTAGATCCTTGCTCCTCTATATATGGGCTTTTCCTGTTGCTGCTGATAGAGCAATTAAAATAGAACCCAGTTTGAGCTGCAAAACCACCCGTGATTCGAGGATGAAAAAGCCCACTGAATTGTTTAAAGATAATAATAATAATAATAATAATAATAATAATAATAATAATAATAATAATAATAATAATAATAATAATAATAATGATAATAATAATAATAGTTGGAAAGGACCTTGGAGGTCATCAAGTCCAACCCCATGCTCAGGCAGGTAACCCTATACCGTTTCGCAGGTAACCCTATACCATTTCGAACAAATGGCTGTCCAGTCTCTTCTTAAAAACTTCCAGTGTTGGAGCATTCACCGCTTCTGGAGGCAGGCTGTTCCACTGGTTAATTGTTCTCACTGTCAGGAAGTTTCTCCTTAGTTCTAGGTTGCTTCTCTCCTTGATGAGTTTCCATCCGTTGCTTCTTGTCCTGCCTTCAGGCATCTTGGAGAATAGCTTGCCCCCCTCTTCTTTGGGGCAGCCCCCGAGATATTGGAACACTGCTAGTTGGAGAAGAGCTAACAGCTTTTTGTCAAATACAGGTAACTTACGACCACCATTGAGCCCGAAATTTCTGTCGCTAAATGAGACATTTTGTTAAGTGAATTTTACGACTTTTCTCGCCACACTCATTAAGTGAATCGCTTCACTTGTCAATTTAGCAACAAGGTTCGTTAGTGAATCCGGCTTCCCCGTTGACTTTGCTTGTCAGAAGGCCGCAGAAGAGAATTACATCCCCCTCCCTCACAGGACACTGCAACCGTCATAAATACGAGTCAGTTGCCAAGCGTTCTGAATTTTGATCATGCGATCATGGGGATGCCGCAGTGGTGTTAAGTGTGAAAACGGTCATAAGTCACGTTTTTCAGTGCCGTTATAACTTTGAACGGTCATTAAGCGAACTGTTGTAAATCAAGGATTACAGAAGACTGTATGGTACAGAGACTGAAAAAGATTAATTTACAGTATGTACATATATAGAAAAAATATTCAGATGTTGCCCACCCATCCAGTGATACATCATTATAGATCAGTGATGGCGAACCTTTTAGACACCGAGTGCCCCAAAACCACCCTGACCGCCCCCGCTCTGCCCAGCTCCGCCCACTGCTCTGCCCTCCGGCCTGCCCACACCTCCGCGGCCCGCCACAGCAGAACACCCAGCGGCCCTGCAGCGCCATGGCAGCCACGCCCTCTGTTGGCGCCCCGCAGCATCATGCGACAGGGCGCAAGGGCGGAGTCTTGTCCCTGCTGCCTGGCTGCCATGTCCTTGGCTGTGCTGCTCCACACGGGCCGTGCCTGGGGGTGACTCTCTGGGGGGCTGCTGGTGAGGGGGGGGGAGACGGGGCTGGGGCGATGGCATGCATGCCCATAGAGAGGTCCCTGAGTGCTGAGGTTTCTGGCACGTATGCCATAGGTTCGCCACCACTGCCCTATATCATTTCAGACAGATGGTTATCCAATCTCTTCTTAAAAACCTCCAGTGTTGGAGCACCCACATTTGATAGGTTGTCAAAGGGAAGAGGTTTTATATATCCTCTCTGTAGCATCAAAGGAGAAGAACCATAAAGGGGAAGCTTTAAAGGAGTAAACGAGGAGTAATTTCCTGACCGTGAGAACTCTTAAGCAGTGGGACACATGCCATAGGTTCGCCACCACTGGTACAGATAGTCCTTGTCTTATAACCATTCATTGAGTGACTGTTTGAAGTTACAGCAGCACTGAAAACAATGACTTTTTCACATTACAACGGTCGCTGCATCCCCAGGCTGAAGTGATCAAAGTTAGGGCACTTGGCAACCGGCTCACATTTATGACGGTTCCAGCATCCCAAGATCATGTGATCGATCACCTTCTGTGACCTTCCGACAAGCAAAGTCAGTGGGGGAAGCCAGATTCGCTTAATGGCTGCCTGATTCACTTAGCAACTTCAACGATTCTCTCAAGAACTGTGGCAGAAAAGGTCGTAAAATGGGTCAAAGCTCACTTAACTGCCTCGCTTATCAGTGGAAAGTTTGGGCTCGGTTGTGGTTGTACATTGAGGACTATCTGGAGCAGGGGTCTTCAAAGTTGGCAACTTTAAGACTTGTGGACTTCAACACAGCAAAGCTGGCTGAGGCATTCTGGATGTTGAAGTCCACAAGTCTTAAAGTGGCCAAGTTTGAAGACCCCTGATCTGGAGTATGCTTCATATGACTTTCCATATTGTTGCTGATGGACCTGGTAGAATAAAATGTCATTTGCATCTGAAACCATCAGGTATAGCAAAACAAAACCCTGCCTTTTCTCAGGTACTGCTTGCTTGTGGCAAATAAGTACTTTGTATTAGATATATCTTTCAAGATTGGAAAAAGCCTCACGAGAATGTGTCTTATTTTTTGCTTTAGGTTGCCTAGGAAACTCTAAGCCCAACAGTCGGCGCAGCTCCCCCAGATCTTTGGCTTGCGCTTCGGATCCCCTGTCTAATTCTGAAGACAGAATGTGTGAGGTTTCTGATTCCAACGTTGGTGCTTCTGCTTTAAATGGCATAGCTGCTGTGGAAAAAGCTAGGAAAGGAATAGCTGTGGGGTAAGTGTGCGGTGACTTGAAAAAGAACGGACATGCAATCATGGGGTTGGAAGGGACCTTGGAGGTCATCTAGTCCAGGGCTTTTCAACCTTTTCACCCATTGTACCACTTTTAGGATATGGCAACATCCGAGTACCACCAGTCGCCTAGCAAGGTGTCAAAAGCTTGATGACCAAAAAAAAGGAAAAAAAGTGATAAAGTACAGGTAGTCCTCGACTTACAACAGTTCACTTAGTGACTGTTCGAAGTTACAATGGCACTGAAAAAAGTGCCCCCCAAGCCACAACCGAGCAAGACACCTGCCTGCCCGCCCGGCCGCGCTCTTCCTCCTGTCCGAGGTTTTCATTGTTGTGAGCATTTCTGTTCAGGATTGGCAGCGGGGGTGGGGTGGGGGGTGTTTGGTTTTTATTCCCCCCGTCTGCTGGGTGGTTGCAGCAGGTTTTGGTCACTTCACATGACCCTGGGACACTGTGACCGTCATAAATATGAATCAGTTGCCAAGCATCTGAATGTGAATCACAAGACCCTGGAGAGGCTGCAACATTCCACCTGATTGGCGCTTCTTCAGGGCTCAGCAGAAGCGCCAGGATCAGCGCCGAGCTCCAGCTGGAGCCTGGCGCTGATCCTGGCGCTTCCACTGAGCCCTGACAGCCCCGAAGAAGCGCCGATCAGCTGGAAAGCGGCACTGATCCTGGCGCTTCCGATGAGGCCTACAGCCCTATCTCTTGCTCAGGCTTGTGCGGTGCTGCCACCGGTTCAGCTCATTCCCCTCCCCCGCTACCACTTTTCTAGGATGGTCGCGTACCACCTGCCAGGTGCCAATGTACCACAGGTGGTACCCCTACCACTGGTTGAAAAGCCCTGTTCTAGTCCAAGCCCCTGCGAAAGGAGGAATTGTTATACCGTCCCAGAGAAAAAGGCTAACCTTGGTGTGAAAACCACCAGGCTGTCCCACTGCTTAAGAGTTCTCACAGTCAGGAAATTACTCCTCGTTTACTCTTTTAAAGCTTCCCCTTTATGGTTCTTCTCTTTTGATGCTACAGAGAGGATATATATAAAAACCTCTTCCCTTTGACAACTTATCAAATGTGGGTGCTCCAACACTGGAGGTTTTTAAGAAGAGATAGGACAACCATCTGTCTGAAATGATATAGGATCTTGTGCCTGAGTAAGGGGGTTGGACTAGAAGACCTCCAAGATCCCTTCCAACCCTGTTATTCCGTTAAATGTTGGAAAGCTACTGTTGTATCTCCTTTAGCCTTCTCTTCTTTCATCCTGCCTCGTATCTTCATTTGGAGTGCATCTCATTTCCACTTGTTTTCTACTCTTACAAATGCTTATACCAGTGATGGCGAACCTTTTAGAGACCCAGTGCCCAAAAACTGGCCCCGCCCCCGCTCCACCCC